AACTTTCTTAACAACCTACTAAATAAGTAAATTCGTATGATCTAGAATTGTCAATATACACCTTATTTGGTGTGATCCGTCGCTTACACGAAATAGCAATACATCCACTCCGTGTTGATCGGTTGAGCGCACAAAAATTACAGAGTAGCATTTTTATGTGCATCAGTGATGTGCTGATAAATACTTGTAACGGTATGGAGGTTCCAAGTCAGCAATGCTGTGTGCATACTGATGTGAGTAAGATGGGTCCTATCACTCACATGCTGTTGTATCTAAATAAGTTTCCATAGTAGAGAGTCAAAGTCGGCGTTAGCGATTAGAATTTTCACAGATTAGACGCATCTAAAACTTCCGCTACTCATGAAGTCGATTTCATTGACTAGAATGTACCCGATTTTTCTCACAAACAATATCAAAACCCTCTGCGCTTTGCTTCTGGTTGCAAAAATCATTGACACGTTTCTTTCCATTGAAAAGTTTATTGTAGAATAAATTATGAATAATGCGATCCGAAATCATGTGGAGAGGCTTCTAATTCATTTAGCCTGCATTATGATCCGTCACTCCATCGGAGTAAGTGCCAGCCAGATGGAGTGCTTCAGAAGAGGACACCTTGAGTTGAAAAGATTGATTTGTCCTCGCCATGTAGAAGGATAAGTGCTAAAGCGTTGTTTCGTAAGGAAGTAAGACATCGGTCACTCAGGCGCAATTGAACATGTTTCCGTAGTACGCAACAACAACAACAACAGTGCCTAGCCAAAAAGTTCATGGCAAACAACAAACTGCTGTATAAGCATGTCAATAAGCTTCGTAAAGTGAAGCATGGAATACCCCCACTATTCACGACAGGCGGTAGAGTACAAAGCGCCGAAGAAGCAGCTAATGCCCTGCGGCTGCAATACGCCCCAATTTTTGAACTCGCAACCTCTACCTGTCCCATCATGTCAAGCTCATTACCGACACCTTTGTTTACAAATGTTATTTTCAACCCATCAGTTGTGCTAAGGAAGTTATTCTCACTGCGTGAACATAGTTCTCCGGGAGCAGACAACATCCGCCCGAAGGCACTGAAGGCTGTGGCCACCAAGCTAGCTGAACCACTGTCACAGTTCTTTCAAAGGTGCTTTGATGAACAACAAGTCCCCACTATGTGGAAGTGTGGCATTATAACCCCTATTTTAAAGGCGGTAGCCGTTCCGATCCTGCAAACTATCGTCCAGTGACTCTCCTCCCTGTGCTCGCGAAGGTGATGGAAGCAGTCGTCGCTGAGGCTTTAATGGACTACCTGGAAAAATGCAACATCTTGGTACCGGAACAGCATGGCTTCCGTCAATACCGGTCATGCACCACCAACCTACTTATTGCACGAGGTAGTTGGACGGAAGTGGCAGATGATGGGGTCGGAGTCGACGTCATCTATCTGGACTTCTCCAAAGCTTTCGACCGCCTTGATCACCGCATGCTACTTCAAAGACTACAAAGTTACGGAATCGGAGATCCTGTACTTGGTTGGATTGGCAACTTCCTTTACCAACGAAAGCTCCAAGTACGTGTTAGGGGATCACTTTCTAACCCAATTGAGGTGGAATGTGGTGTCCCACAAGGCTCAGTGCTGGGACCGCGTTTATTCCTGGTGTTTATCAACGACCTGGCAAGAGTCATCTCCTCAAACTTCCTGCTTTTCGCCGATGACGTCAAGATATGGCAAGCGATCAGTAACAAGGCAGATCAGGATCTGCTCCAACATGACCTAGATTGCACTTACGAATGGTCAAAGAGGAACAAGCTGCAATTGAACATGGCTAAGTGCAAAGTGATGCATCTGCGTCACCAGCTGGTGAGCGCTTACAAGATTGGAGACCACACCTTGGCGAAGGTTTCTCAGGAGCGTGACCTGGGTGTATTGGTAGAGGAAGTTCTTGGGTGTTCCAAACAAGCAGAGAAGGCGAGGAGAACCGGAAATAAACACTTCGGCCTTCTTCGCAGAGCCTTCGGACGGTTTGAACCATCAATATTTCCTCAAATGCTTAACGCCTACGTGCGACCTCACGTGGAATATGCTATTAAGGCGTGGCAGCCGTGGCAGAAACAGGATCTCGTTGCTCTCGAGACTCCTCAACGAAGGGCAAACAAGAACCTCAGAGGCCTCTTTCATCTGCCCTATCAGCTTAGGCTGAAACCTCTAAGAATCTAGAGCGGTCGATATCGGCTTTTGCGGGGGGATCTCATAATGGTTTACCAGATTCTGAAGAACCCGAACCACATTTGCCGTCCGCTGCTGGAATTGAACCCCAACACTAAACTAAGAGGTCACCCTTTGAAACTGGCAATTCAGTATAGCCGGCTTGAATGCCGTAGAAATTTCTTTTCTCTCCGCGTATGCTAGCCTTGGAATGTCCTCCCTAATTATGTCGTCTCTGCTCCCAATCTGGCAATATTTAAAAAACGTGTTGACGATGCATTGTCTCACTTGCATTTCATTTTATGACTTGTTAGCCAGGGGCTACAAAACGCAATCAAACGGTGTCTTGCCAAACGCCCAACCATTGGATTTACGGATTTATACGTTTAATATGCGAACATCTCCGCTATTTCACATAAGTCAATGGTGAGTCCACCACAACGCTTTTCACTTTATTATGCAATTGATTTTCGCAATAATTTCCATCCCACGGGACTTGATAAGCGATGCTTTTTTACCCGTAATAAACCATTGTCCATTGTCCAACAACAACAGCAACGACAACAACAACAACACTTCCAACTCAAACATTTCGTACGTGGCTCCGATAGTCAACCGCGTAGGTTTCGAGATGGCGAGTGTAAAAGTAACACCTGGTTGCGTGGGAGTTTGACCCCAAGAATAGCGCTTCCAACGCAAATCAGCAACAGCAGCCAGAAGTGCGATCCGGTAGCCAACGACGTAAGTCATGCACTACTATAGTTCTCGTAATCGGTATTACTGTCCACTGAATACAACCAGGGATTTCAACCTCGGCTGCTAAGCTTGAACTGCGTATTCGATATGAGGACGAATATAAGCGCTGAGTGGTGAACGGAAAAGAGATAGGTCTAATCTTCCAAGAGTCCTTCACGTTGGCTTTTGTATTCCTGTGCGTTGCGGCAAAAGACGAGTATGACGAGTTCTTTGCCTTCATGCATAGCTGTGACTCACACAACTCTAGTGTTTTCCCCGTTCCGCAAACATTCCTACGTCATCAAGTGGATGTTTCCCAGTGCAACTGTGTGTCGTGATATTACGTCAGCACACTTGCATTGTAGGCCCTCGTTACCGGAGAGGAGGTGAGGTTGTATCCCTGCGTTATATAGAGCGCATCAACGTTGGACTCCACTGACTCAGTGACGCCTCACCAGATTTATTTCGTCATGAGTTGAGCCAGGCATTGCATTTGTCAGATGTTCTGAATGTTCCCAACTCAGTCGGTTAGGCCCACTGTAACTGTACGCGACAATATCGCTTGGAGCACGACTACTCGTACAAACTCCCGGGTCAAACACAAAACAAAGCCGAGAAATTAGCTACGGTACTATTTCAGTAGAAATTAAAGTGGAATATGGACATTTCCCAACAGTACCCGTTCACTTCTGAAACAACCCGGTCTTTACAAGGTGCACAAAGAATGCAACTCACCGTAATTGCCACCGTACGACAAGATGACACAACACAGAGTCCGTGAGCGGATTCCACATCTCTTTTAATGGGTTCGATAATCTTACCAGAGGGTGGTAGGAGTAACTTGTCTAAGGGGAAATGTGGGATGAAAGGAATAACAAGAGGGGATGTACCCTTGTGGCTGCGAAATGGATCAACTCAGCATGTGGCGTGACACCTGGACAAGTTACACAGTGTGGGCGCGAGCGAATCTAACATCGAGGTTGGAATGAAACCATGTGGGCATGGCTAGGAAAACAGTGAATGACACAATAGTGGATGTTTGTGAGTAGTGTAAAGTTAGAAGAAAGTAGAAGCCACGATTAAAATTCACGCACAATAATATGCCTCGACGGGGAGTCGAACCCCGGTCCACGAATTTCCGGTCCGTTGCTCTACCACCTGAGCTACCGCGCACCAAGCAGAAGAATGATACAATAGTCAGTAGGCGCAGGTGCCAGCTAAGGTTATACAGGGTAAAATGCTGATACCTATGGTGCGAATTGCAATGAGACTATGGAGCATAGCATAGGTAGCCATATGGCGCAGACAAATAGTCGGCAGCCCGGTGTATCAGTAGATAACAAAGGTGGTGTGGTTATCCATGGTACGATCCTGATATCCAACTTGCCGATTGCATGCTAATGTAACCGCTAACAGCAACCGCTTCAACATCAGGCGAGCCTTGCCGCTCTAATCCGGTCTCCTACGAGTATCCTTAATCATACCACTTGAGTTCGTTACTCACTTCCCGGGCCTAGTCATATGATCAGACGTTTGAAAAGCTTGTCTCCAAAGAACAACGCAAAAGCGCAACCTGTAAGGAAGCCTCCTTGCCAACTGTGGGTTAGTGAGATTCGCAACCGATAGACAGCTCTTTGTATTACGTGTGCGCTGGCATGCACACTACGGCACTTTGCTTCCAAAGCAGCCGAAAAGTGATATTTTTTCCATGCATGTTCATGTCCACTGTCTGTTTCTTGCGGCATGGCTGGGTGCTGGTCAATTTCCGGGACATATGTAGGTCTCCGACATAGCGTTTTTGGGTTTTCTCACCCGATTGGCGAGGGAAGAAACAAATGACACTGGATCGCGACTAGCCAAATGGCCAATCGCGCTCTACCCTCGCCCGACCCTCTTATGTTGCACGCCTGCCATGCTGTTACGCATGGCCTTGTCGCAGCACAAACGACTTCATTTTCGACACCCAATGGTTGGATTTGACAGCGTTAACTTGCGCACGCCGCTCGTCCATGTAGTCGGTGGCTTGTGTCCGTTGATGAACAACGATTGATTTGTTTCATACACACAATTGATTTAACGGTAGATGTGGAACCGAGTTTCGGACACAAGCAGAAACTCGCGTTCGGTGTACGAAGTGAGCGACCTATTTTGGACTGGCGTCAAGTTGTGCGCTTGTTTAATGTTTTATTAGGAGAATATATATTTTGAACAACTGGGTAATCATTGAGTTATTTGTACATATGATCCGTCCCTTTGTGGGCTCGGTTTCTCGGTACCACGAGAAATATACTTCCTTATAAATGCGTCATCCTGTGAGGGATGCCGAGTGCCTTCCAGTTGAGTCCAGCTCGATAGCCACTTTTTCATTTTATAATTTTACCTCTTATTACTCTCGATGCTGTGTCTGTATTCGTAAGCAGACAGGTGTGTCCGATGCCTTTCAACTTCAGACTAAAAGATTTGTGTTCATTTACTGAGGGCATCGACAACTATGGACTTTGTGAAACCAGAAATTGGTCCGTGAAGGCAGCACCCTTGTCAACAGCATCACGGGTGTAATTTTGCAAGTATGCCCATAGAACGCACACAGGGTGTTAGTTGTTGGGCCGTATCCCATTACATAGGGAAGTAGGTTGGCTTGGCAACGCCCCCACACAAACAACTAGAAGCAGTCCACTGGAGGTGGCAGTACTAATGTCTATTTAGAATAGATTGATACTTGAGCAACAATTAGGTCATGTGCAATCAGACCTGACATACCATCCCAAGATAAAGGTGGTAGCCACGCGATAACGGGTTTTGAATCTCGCAATGGCTAGATGACAGCAACAACGCATCACACACAATATCGGAGGAATAGAGAATTCAATTAATTCAACACTACTTCGTCATGGACTCCTCGTGACAACGTCGGCGAACTTTCATGACGGTTTGTTAGGGACAAGTGCATGTATCCCGGCAAACCCAGACTGCTGTCCAATCGCGTTTTTCACTCTTATGCGACGTGTTTGTTTACAACTTGTTGGGCAATCTACCGATGATAAGTCACTGGTTTAAAGCGAATTCGTCGCCACGGTGCCCAGCAATCCTATGGGAAACCCTTCCGCATAAGTAAATACATAGGCCACACTCTGAGATAGCTACACGTTTGGATAACTGAATCCTCATGCGCAACGGAATCTTTGCATCCTCAGTCTGCTGAAGGTAATTGTTATTGATCGAGGGTGACCGTCGCGTTGCATACAGATGCAGCTGACGGTGACTTTGAACTTACTGTTGTGGCCAAAATACGCAGGTTGGCAACCCAGCAATGTCACATCATTGGGATTGCAAATGGAGTTTCCCACTTCAACTTTCGAGCATGTTTGCTCACTCGGAATCAACTGAGTCGTGATGCAAGCGTGGCTGTCACCAACCTGAGTTATTCTTGGTGTGGCTATCTGGTGCACAGGGAAGTTCCTTATACTAACCCGTTTGGTTCACATTGGTCGATAAGCGCTCCACACCCACCACATCGAGGACCATTCAATTAGATGACGTACTTTTCGCCATCCAAAGCAGAACTTCGCTCATGGCACTGGGAGGGACTCTTTTGTGTCGAACATAGTGAGTGTTCCATTTATTGAGATTTGAGTAAATCCTGCCCGCGGCTATTGCGTGTGAGTGGGTTGCTACGCGGCTAGTTAGACTCTACCAACCACTGCTCCAGGTGCTCGACAGTCGCAGGTGGCGATAGCTCCCTCTCCGCGGAGTTAGGTATTAATACCTTCCAGACGTCCTTGTGCCTTCCTCCAATCCGCGTAATGGATTCACAAACATAAACCGCCAGTTAGCTTACGGCACTATAGGCCCGCTGGGAAGACTACTGACTACAAATAGTGGATTGATGTAAATGGCATAATTTGAATTCCTAACATTTAGATCCACTGAAAAAGCCTCTGAATGTCCTGACTCCTAACCGCCACGTCGTGAGTTCTAACCCCACGCGGGCAAATACAATGCGTAGTACTTTCGAGTTCCGAAAGGACGAGGTGACGATCCAGTCCTTTCCCGGAGATCCAGTAACCTTTCTGCCGGGGTGTAGTTGTTATTGCCTACAAATACCATTTTAACCACCGTACTTGGCACTCCACCCAAACTGCTGTAGGTTTGCTGGTGAAATAGGTTGCGGTGCCGTTTGGATCATTTCCTCCCATCTGCCAGGCATAGGTACACACCCACAGGCGCCGCTGTATCGATCCAGAAGGATAGTCAGTACTATTAATCACACAAGCTGAAGTGCCCCGGCGCCTAGGCCCTGAACCCTGGCGTGTTGAGTCCGAGAATTTTGTTCAATTTGTTCCCCTTACCCCGAAGTGTGTGCGTATATATGTTCATCCAGTCAACTATAGTCTCAGTTACTGTGTTCTACCTGTCTGGTTGCGCTCGGGGCGGCAGGCAGACACGTGGGAGTGCGCGCATCGGCAACACACACTAGCCATGCCTCAAGCGAGTTACCAGGTCAGTTTCGAGCCATCGATTTTTTGCTTCCCATCCCGCCCCATCAATGCATTGAATTCGGCCACGCGTCTCTTTGTCTCACCATAATGGTTGCTGTTAGCTCGACCGCCTACGCAGTTTGCCACTTTTCTGTCCGATTGAGTGAGCGGTATTGGGGCAGGCTTTCCCCACTCGATGAGGTCATTGAGCGAACAGGATGGTCGGGAGGAAAGGTGTACAGGAATGGAAGACAACCATAAAGCGCTTTGAATTCCGCTCAGTTTTAGTCTCAACTGCCACGCGAATAAAGTGAGTCGGACCTATTTTCACCATGAATTCACAATGCACACAGTACCGATGGAAGATTGTGTTTCCTTTGAGTGTTTCAAGCTCCCTTTCAAAATATCACCTTGTTCATAATTCATTTTCCATTAGAACATCATACTACCGTGCCTTACCCAATGTCTTGCGACTATCGACGTCTGTTATAAAACCATGGTTGCGGGTAAGCGGACTAATGCTTGTGGGATGATCGAGGCGGAATCAAAAATAGACGCGTCAGCAATCTACGGTGCGTGTTAGTGTAGTGAGCGTGTTATTTGACTGAACACACGTGTAAGCGTTTGGCAATATTTTGTAGGGAAGATAGACGAATACAATTTTTGGTTACGCTGCGTCATTCTCTGATGTATATGGTTATAGTCAGCTCGCTTTTCAGACGCCAGTAAGATAGAGGCAGAAATAAAGTTGTTCGGAAGGGTACTCCATGTTTACTCACCGGTTCTACGGTGTGGACAGTTCTGCCTTATGACTCCTCAAGTTGGTGCTGTCGATGAGTTTCAGGTGGAAGTGAATGTGGTAAGGGCTTTTAAGGCGTTATAACGCGATCGAGAAGTCGTCTCGTGGATTCCGATATTGCGCACTGGGTTTTCGGTTTAAGTTGATGAAAGAATTGCAATAAGCGTAACGCAAGTTTAATGTGCCTGGCCAGGCGGGTACGTCTCGAAACTACGAATCCAACGTCATTTAATGCGGCCACAAACACTCCCTCATTTTAATGACATTGTCGTAACTCTTAATCCCGCAACCTCCTCCCCCCTCGTGGACTAAGCTACTTAACCGTGTCACACTTCCTCATCCTGTAAGTGATTCGTCCGCTCGTGCAACACATCCTGATTCAACCGCCACCTCCATATCGATGGTGCCTTCGTTTTTGGTCGTGCTTTGCCCCACATTTATCGTCCCCCTTGAACCTCTCCCCCACCCTTTCTGAATTGATTCGTTTGGTAGACCATGTTCCGATTCTTACCTGTACTTCGCACGCGGCGGTCGCTGCCAATTAGGACTTGTCGTCTGTTAACCGGCTGGGTTCGACTTCTCAGCGAGTCACATTCTTTTGGTGTACAGCTTGCTTGTACCTTGGAGCCTGGAAATCATTGAGATTTTAGTTGCACACATCCATCAGTTCAAACTGACCTATGCTACTGCAAATCTCTTGGTGAGTCACATAGTCTGTGCATTCTTTTATCGACAGCGTTTTCAAATGGTACTTTTCGCCCTAACCTTCCTACGGGAATTGTCAAGCACATGCTGTTTTAACTATTGTAAACCACTACTCTATTGCTTGCTAAGCTGGTGAATAGTACCTAAGATCGGTTCCGGCTCAGTTTTGTTGAGTTTTCCCGTGGTCTGCGCGTTGCTCGACTTCGCAAGGCGATTGGTCGTCCACAACAAGCCCTCGTTATTCTTAGTCTGACTCTACTGTGGCGGTTCACGCGCATCGCGATTTTTGCTACCAGGCCCAGATGGTGTATTCTACATGGGGTCTTATGTAGGCTTTGAATACTTGCAGGATGGAAGGGTCAAATAGCTCGAATGCCTCCCCCCATGTGGGGCTAGGGCTCTGGTCAGCTTTCTTTGGGGCTTTATCTACCTCTTCAGAACAGCCATGCTCCTCCTATGCGAGCGTTCCGATACCACTTTCGGGGTTGGTGCAAAGACGGTTCTCGACCGGTACTTCTCAGTGCAGTTGTAGCACATACTCAACATTTTCACTTGGCTGTACCAACCCAACGTATGCTTAAGGTTGACTAAATGTAACCCTTTCTAGGTCACCCGTGGAGCTGGGTGACCGTAGGTTATTTTGATAGCCCAATGAGATTTGAGATTAACAACCAAGATCGAAAAAAGTTGAGCTATTCATTCTTGAGAGATCGTTTGTGAGTACCAGAATTAAACATTCTCACAAGATTGGGTCCTGGGGCACATCACTCTGAACTTCTAGCTAGTCATATAAGTTGGCGCGTACTCCCACGTCAAGATGTGTTTGGCAGCGCAGTTACCTATCCATCCTAGGAATGGGGCATCGATTTCATAGACCATTAAGTAATCAACGTAGTCTTAGACAGTTCTTACATCAGCATCGACCGTTCCCACCTTTCATAAGTCACCATTAGGTCCGTGATGCATGGACCATTCTGTCCAACTTCGTCTTGTCTCGGCACAATGATGCTGTGTCCCTCCAAACATACCATGAGTGCCTTCGCAATGTCAACTCCCTTGACTTGGGTAGCACCGTGATAGGAGTGTGTTGACGATGATCTTTACCTTCAGTAGGCTAGTGTGAGGAACCTACGTTGCTACATAATAGGATCT